CTCATATCATTGTGGAAAAATTCTACTACCAGTCCTTCATCACCTTACACGAAATAGGGTGAATACATCTAATTGGGATATAGCAGTCTAGTTGATTGTTTTCGTGTAGATTTTTTATATATTTATCTAGTGTGTAGTTAAAAGTAAAAGGTTATTTCATTTAACGAGAAATAGGCCTGTTTCATAAAACCTAATAAAATTCTTCTGAAATGGAGTGGAAACAAAATGGAATCAAAATCTTCAAAGTATTTACAAAAATGAGATCAAGCTTATTCCATTAAATAAGCTGGAACCCATAATTGCTGTCTTTGCAAAATTTCAAAACTTGTGTAAATTCGTGATTGAGTAGGTTTTCGAGACTACCAGTAAATCACATATATGAGTTGGGTTCACCCTATTTCGCTTAGGGTGATGAAGGACTGGTAGTTGCATTTTTCCACAATGATATGAGTAGAGCCGATTTTTTCCTTTAAATTTAATAAATCTGATTTACTGTTAGTTGCGAAAGCCTACTCACTCACGAAAAAAGTAATGTCGACGATTGCTATAGTCGATACACTTTTGCTTCATCGACACTCCTAACACAGAATGTGATATAGAAAATGCCTGAAATTCACATCTGTCCTGTAACCCAAGGGCGCTTGTGGCAATGTGGCGTAATAATTAACGTGTCGAGCTTACACGCTGCATTTTCATGGTTCGATTCCCGTTTTGGGTGTTGATAAGATCCATGCGAGTTCGAAAATGCAGTCCACCCCGGATGAGAACGCTTTTTAGGAAAGAAAGGCTGTTTAAAATTCAATGTAAAACATCAGCTCTACTCATAGCATTTTGGGAGAATTCGACTACCAGCCTTTTATCATCTTAAACAAAATATGGTGAACAAAACATGTATATATTCGTTTGCATTTTACATGAGATGCAGGAAAGCATGAATTATCATTTAAGTAAGAATACTCATCAAAAAATAAGGCCTGCTGGAAGTAGTGAGCTAGCCAAGAAACATAGCACAAAGAATTTAATCTAGCCACATCTCTATTTAGGAAATCATAATTTCATTAATTCCAACAGGTAAACTAGATTCGGCTTCCTATTTCCAATAATAAAGACGATGAGTTTAACGTATAGGAAATACCTGCTTTCATACAAAATCCGTCAATATTTTATTTGTAATTATCCACTCTTAAAAATAAAATTCTATAAAACTTTTGTTCAAATATTATTTTAGTTTCCTCTTTTATTTAAATATTAAATATCTAAAAAATTGTGGACTACTAGTAGGTACCGAGATGCATATTATTAATTTATTATTTAGTTTTAACAAAATCCAATTGATCGTTTCGAAAAATGTGAGTCCCTGATTTATAGTTGAGTTATCCTTTTAAGCAATTACGCAATGTGCTAAGCCTCAGTGAAGCAGAATGAGGACTAGACATGATAATTATCACTCCGGATAATTTATAGTAGTAATCAATAAGTTCCCTCAAACATAGTAGATTTCACTTTAAATTTGTTTAGTATACCTTCAATATTCATTATTTGCAAGGTTATCTTTAACCTGTAAATAATTTTACTTAAATTTTCTAAAGTTAGTCAAGTAGACCATCTATTAATCAGTTAACTCTCGAAAGAATCTATACATTTTACATATGTAAGTAGAGTTTCGAGACTTCAGTAAATCAGTTTTATGAGATGTATTGACCCTATTTCGTTTAAGGTGATGAAGGACTGGTAGTAAATCACATCCTTTGGTGGGATTGCCGATGGAGCAAACGTATTTTTCCTATAAAAATCGACTACTTTACTTATTTTTCGTATGAGAATTTGATATGGAAAAAGGCCTGGCCTTCCCTGAAATTCATATCTACCCTATGACACAAGGATGCTCGTGGCAATTTGGCCAAGTGGTTGACGTGTCAAGCTCAAAGCTGCATTGTCACTGTTCGACTCCCGCTGGGAGTGTTGATAAGACATATGCAAGATCGAAACTGCAGTCCATCCTGGATCGGAATTACTTTTGGAAAAGCAAGGCTATGTAAAATTCAATGAAAACTTCAGCTCTACTCATATCGTCGTGGAAAAATTCGACTACCAGTCCTTCATCACCTTAAACGAAATCGGTTAAATACATCTCGTATACATTTTACTCGCCTTTGATTCTTGTTCAGCAAGTTGGCCATATCCGGCTGTTTCTCTATCCTCGATGTAGTTGATGGATGATTCGTTCACATTTGTCAGTGTTTTATCACACTCCAAAAACGTGGGTTCCGTCCAGCCGACTTGGTTACAGCTGTCTGAATTCTGTGAAGGAATCAGTTCTTTAGAATTAGGATGCTTGTTCATCGAAAGATAGCAAAGTTCTTTGGTGCCTTCGCATTCAGTGCAGTTGACTTCCAAGCTAGAAGGGTTAGCATTATTAAATTGCGCAGCCCATAGGCCGGATGTAGATTTACACGCTTCAGAGTTTGTTTGAATGCTAGACAAGTCAGCAACCTTCAATAATATTCCTGGATTGTGCTGTTTAAGGAGTGCAGGCATGGCGCTGTCGATGATACCGAATTGGCAGAATGTGGAGGTACCGGCAGCACCATCTGGCGGATCTCGTAAGTCCATCAGCGATGGAGTTGTAGTTGAGCCAGGCCGTGAATTTGTAGGCCAATCTGTGAGCTGAACAATTCCAGATTGTGGTTGCATAGCAGAGAAGGATGGTGAGATAAAAGCTACCATCCTTTGGCTAAAACAAAAAACAAGAAATTTTATTTTATTTTAGTTCAACATACAGATGGTGACTGATTAAATTAATGGAAATAGTTCTGTAAATTTAGGAACTTGTGTTAAACAATAGAAATACAATTGCCGTTTGTATTTGTAATAGCACAAACACACGTACATACATACATACATACAGATATATATATATATACTTCTTGCCAGACTTGAGGACTAGCTAAAGCATACCATCTGAAATAACTAAAAATAAAATTTTGATTATAAGACATAATAATTATTCTTTCGCGGAAATATATTGGTCATTATCAACACTTATTGTAAACCAACTAATATTAATATTTATCATAATTTAGCCAACCTTGGTGAAGATGAATACTCTACCACAGAGTTCCTGCTGTTCTCTTGCATAGCTAATACAAGACCATTGCTATCATCAATCAGCATCTGCTGATTATTCAAACTACATTTTTCGGTTAGATTCGGCTCCGATGGTGTGGTTTTTAAGGTGGACTTTATTCCTCCACGAAAGCTACCGCCAAGTAGCTCACTGTTTACCGTTAGAGGTAGCGGGGCCTGTCGATAATGCCTGTAGATTGGATCAGTAACTGCTGCAGCCATAGGGTAATCATGCTGAGCAGATGATAGCAATGATTGCTGTTTGGAAAAAAGCGATAACGTTTGCTCCTGCTCTTGTGGGCGCTTATGTAGGCCAAAAGCATCGGTATCATAGATCGACAATTTGCAATGACTTTCAGATAACAGAGCTGCCTGGCTGGAGTCGCAGGAGACTGCAGGACAGCTGGAATGTTGATCAAGGTTGAGAGAGCTCAAGTGTGGCTGTATAAGACTGGCTGCAGGCAAGGGACCTATTCAGTAGAAGGAAAGAAACCTAATGTTATATCGGAACCAGTTGAAAAGCTATGTACTTATGTACAGGCTTAGGGAAAACAGATATGCACATAGTTATATATGCATATAACTAGTTGCAAGCAATCAATAATAAAAAATATAATCAA